TTTTTAATAGAGCAATGTCAGGGGTTTTATTTCTAACTCCACAATTCACACTGTTTTAAGAATTTAATTTTAATGATCTTTTAGGGGAAAATCTCAGTCATCACGCTGCTGGTGTGAAAACTATCGTCGCTGTGTTTCAGTGAGTTTATGCAACATGTTTTTACTCCCATCTGCCCCACTAGCGTCAGTTTTGGACGTGTCAGGGACGGCTTGTCAGTTTCCACTCGTTACATGCACTTCTGTCTTCATGGGCAGTAAAATCACTTATGTTCAGGAAAATGTCAATGCTTCACTTAGTTTCTTATGGGACACGAACAGGGATTTCCTCAGTAAATGTCTTGTGTTAGTTTGACGATATAGGAGTGAGACCAGGTTGGTTTATTGCACCTTTTTTTTTTTTGCCTCCCTGTTTGAACAATTGATATTTTTTTTGTATTTTAAATAAACTTAATACCTTGTGTGTTGTCTATTCACTCTCACTGAGGCACTCCACCCAACAGAGCAATAGAGCACAATATCCTGTGCAATACTTTATGGATTTTGTTTGATGCCTGCCTTTACTGTCTATGAAACAGGTTTCAGTTATAGTTCATTGTTTGCTGACTAACATGAATCACTCGCTCTCAGACAGTAGACACAACCGGTCTATTAGAAAACTAAATTTCCCTTCAAATGACTACCATATGATTTGTTTGAATCGCAAAATGATCTAACTGGTGTCAGGAAGAATAACTTATTTCTCACTCTAGTGTAGAGACATTTAATTGAGTAAAAGGCATATATACAGTGTGTGCATTTCAATACAGGGAAAGCATGTACACTGGAAAGATTATAGACAGTTTAATCCCCCACTGTATGTTTATCTGGACATCATTGAATCCAAACACGTCTGTGTCAAGTCTGACAGGTGATACCTTGCAGGAGAATTGCTAGTAAGAAGATCAATACATTGCAGATTATGTTTGCTTTCAGCTGTTTAGTGTAGCACAGGCATCGAGATGATAATGACACTGTGAACTCATCTGTGAAATAAACCATATGAAAGACAGGGAGCCTCATATTTGAGTTGCTATATGACTTGGATTGACGCCTTCAAGGGTGAATGTGCAAAAACATCTTTTATTTTGTAATGTGGTGCAAATCCCTCCAGTATCAAACTCAGTGGACCTTTTTCTTCCGTCAACATTGGCCAAAAATACATCTTTTTCCTGTAAGGTTCAACAGTTTTACATAATTACACCATAAATCTGACTCCACTCTACAGAAGCTTAAATGATCTGCAGAACACTGTCCAGCTACAGATATAATTGCATAATTGCTTGGCTTTATGGTCCAAATATTAACAAAGGAGCTAAAAGCAATTTGTCAGTACTGTAAAACACTAACATCCTGTCGTACTAAAATCCTTTGGTTTTGCACTTGAGACAGTTTGCAGCCTTGAGCATGTTGTCACATTGCCTTAAATTAATTCCATAATGAAAGTAAGCTTGCACATCACCCAGTGAATGTATTAACAGTTTTCTAAATATTATTAGCTGATGGCGAGCTCAGGCCTCAGTACCGGGTTTCCTCGACATCACCACAGCTGATGTGAAATGACAGGGGCTTCAGATCGTTCAGGAGGGCTTTGGTGGTGCACTGCTCAGCCAGGCATAAGGACATGGACATCAACCTCTCATCAGGGAGGCTTTTCTAACGATAACGACTGTCCAGCAGCAAAGGGGTTGCAGTGGTGATGACTGAGCCAGGGGTATCAGGAAGCTGGCATCTCAGCATTAACGGTAGCAGTGTCAACACCTTCCCTTCACTCGCAGGTTGGTATTTCATTATTTAAATATAAAGTGAGTCTTCCTCCTGTCTTCACCCATGTGACCTTTTATGAGCCATAAGACCGCTGTGCTTCCAGTCAGCTCATACGCACTCTTCTGAGATACATAACATGTATTCTCAAGTATACCGATTGATTTACACCAAGTTCTAAAGTGAGTTCCTCTCAAGTCAACATAGAAATCTTGCGTCACTAATTGAGAGGTGTTCAAAATATAAGTGACAAGTCTATACTCAAATAGGAGTCAGGAAAATGTGAACTAAAGCACACATCTAGGTTTAAAATTTACGCCGGCCTGCCAATCGGAGGAGAGTCGAGTGTGGAATTGGAACTGGCAGAGAATTCAAATCCACTCTGTCACAGCAAAAAGGAGGAGTGCTGCAGGCTTTCTCACCGTCTCTCACAGTCAAGTCCAGCACTTGTTAAATCTTCTGACAAGAGGTATTATCTTCAAAGTGCAGATCTGAAGATTTAAGATGTCTTGAACACAAAAGATTCCTGCCGAAAATCCAAATTTGAGTGATACAAACATCCATACGTACATATTTACACACTTGAGAAAACAATCAATGGTAACAGTCTTTCACCTGGATTAAAATGTAGCCAGAGGTGAGCAATCACTGAAGGTGTAGTGTAAGATTTGGAGGCATCTAGTGATCAGGTTGCAGATTGCAACCAACCGAAACTTCTCCCGTGTGTCAGCGTGTAGGAGAACTACAGTGGCTGACACGCAAAACGGGAAAACGGGAATGTCCCTCTCTAGAGCTCGTGTTTAATTTGTCCGTTCTGGGCTACTGTAGGAACATGGAGGCCGGCTTAGTGAATAGTGTAAATATAAACAGCTCATTCTAAGGTCATGAAAACACAGTGGTTCTTCCTTTAACCAAACTGGTAAAAACAAGTATACAAAGATGAGTCAATCATTTTAGTTCACTGGTTCCAGCTTCTCAAATGTGAGGATTTGCTGCTTTGTTCGGTTTTGATATGTTTCCAAATTTAATGGGTTGGGTTTTGGGTTGTTGGTCGAACAAAACAAACAAACTGAAGACATCTTAGATTATGGGAAATTGTGGTGGTCATTGTTCCCTATTTTAGGTAATTTGATTGACTAAACAATTAATCAAATAAACATAAAAATAAAAAATGGACATGGATAATGAAAATAGTTGCTATTTGCAGCCCTAATGTCAACTTGAAAAATAAACAAACCGAAACCTACCACATACACAATATGTACAAACGTTTAACTTATTTGAACGATGTAGTCTCAACTCTTAAAAATCCCTCTGTAACTCGTCAATGTTTTGTGATGGATGGATGGTGAAATCAGTGAGGGAAAATGACTATTTACCTGGCAAATAGACGTACTCGACCAACAAAGGAGATGCTGTGCTGTATTCATTCAAGGGGATATCACCTGAGGCCAGGCGGCAACAAAGCCCATGTGTCCACCTCCAGTCAGGCCTCGTTTATGGATCTGCTGAGACATAATGCTCTCCTCAAATCAAGCCTCTTTCATGTGAAACATTTTGTGTCTTTGAAAAGCAGACTCCATATTTATCTGAAGCTATTTCCAGACACGTCTGTCTAATGTGGCAGGGTGTTTAGTGGGGATGTTTGCTTTGTTCTGCCTAATGCTTCTCTAATATAAAGCTCAACACTTTTTGTCAGGAAAACTTGCCAGTTAGATCAACAAAATCATTCACGAGCACAATCCCCTCATCAAAACACCCCCACATCATGCAAAGATATATTTTTAGAATTACTTTTTTTCACACAAACGTTATTGTCTATGGAGCTGGCATTTGATTATGAAAAGAATAATTAAAGTGATGCCTACAAAAAAAAGCTGCTCTTGCGTGTGAGATCAACCGGTGGCTCTGTGCCGATAAGGCCTCTGAACTGACAGGAGAGAGCCGTACAAGCAGTTGCATGAAAGTGCTGAGAGTGTGCCTTTTATCCAAAGGCTGATTGCCCCCATCACATGTGCAAGTATAATGCTGGTAATGCATCCATCATAGCCAAAGCCTCACTCTGGGCAAAGATGGTGCTGCATTTCAGCTTAATAACACCCAGCAGCTGGCAGGGTTGTCTGTCCTTCCCCTGCAGCCGCCTTCTCTTTGCATCAGGAGCAAACATGAGCCCATGTACTCCACAGACACCATTACTAGGATGCATTTTAATGAGCCCCCTTTTCAAGGAAAATCTCCCATTTTTTTCCCCCTGTTCACTTTTTTGCCACCCAGGAGAGAATGAGTAGAACACGATGGCCTGCATGTCACATATCCACAGTCAAATGCAATGTGCATGCGTGTTGCAGCAACAATAACTCTTTCCGCCCACACACACACTCACTCTGACACCCCCACCCCTTCTCGCTTATCGCAGCCACATCCAGCACCTCACCCTACTCCAGCGCCTTCAGTGTGGCTCACGTGCCGCAGCACACTCCAATTGGTACCACGCTTCAGAGGAAAGATTCTCCACATTCAAGTCCAGAGGGGCAGCAGAGTGTGGGGGCGTCATCCGGCTTCCAGGGGAACGGAGGATGTCGCTCCTTATCAATCTGATGAAGCAGACTTAATTAGTAGAGATATTTACGCAAAGCATGAGGTTTGATTATCAGTTTGATTTAAAAATGAATGTTTGATTAAATGAGCCAGAGTGGAAAAATAATCACTTAACCGTTGCTTTTTCATCAACTTTTTTATTTTTTATTTTTGAATTACAATATGTGCTTCTCACCAGGATATGACAATTATTTTTACCTGGATATGTTACCTGTATTGTGCCTACTGTCATGACACTACAGCCTGCAGGTCTCTCTTAAAAATAAATCTAAAGGATTTAAAGAAGCAAAGAAAAGAAAAAATCACCTTGAACATGCCAAACAATAGTGGCATCATTTAATATGCAGGCAATTATAATAAAATATGAATGACAAATTGTGTTCCAAGTTAAAAATACATTTAAAAAAAGTATTTTACTGTTAAATCTTTTTGACATTTTTTTCTGCAAGTTTGGTTTGTGTGAAAGGAAGGAAACTCTCTGGGGGAATCACTGCAATTTCCCTTTTCTAGTAGGAATCCCCATTTAACTCGTATGCATGTTATCGGGTTTTCACTGTTTCTCAGAGGAGACGGGGGAGAGATCAAGTAGCCCACACACTGTGCAGTGTGTGCGGAGGGGTGATGCCTCGAGAGCGCATCACAGGACGACAAAACCCCACTGCAAGACGCAGTGCCAGAATAGAGCCGCTTTGGCACGAGAGCTGGTTTCTTGTAGTTTAAAGGGAGAACGGAGGGAGATCCTCTTTACGAATTCCCAAAACATACTTCATGCCGGAATCCTCCTGATCATCTTTGCTGGCTTGCGTACAGAGACATGTAGTTGAGAGAAAAAAAAGGGGAACTCCACCGGTGGAGAGATCTGGGGATGCATGGACACGGTTACGGGTGATTAATGCCGTTCTGCAGCTTCAAAACAATAAGTGAGTTTCGGGGCCCACAGGATGGACACTGCGGAGGTGATCCTCTCTGTGTTGGTGGTTGTGATTATCATAGTTTCGTTGCTGTCCAACGTCCTGGTGCTGATCTGCTTTCTCTACAACCCGGAGATCCGCAAGCAGGTACCAGGTCTGTTCAACCTCAACCTCACCTTCTGCAACTTGTTGCTGACCGTGTCCAACATGCCGCTCACTTTGGTGGGACTTATCAGCGAGGCTCAGCCGGGGGGAGACGGCTTCTGCCAGATCGTGGGCTTCCTGGAGACCTTCCTGTCCACGAACTCGATGCTGAGCATGGCAGCTCTGAGCATCGACAGGTGGATCGCCGTGGTGTTCCCCCTGAGGTACCACTCCAAAATGCGCCACAGAGACGCGGCTTTTGTGCTCGGGTACACGTGGGCGCACTCCATGTCCTTCTCCACGGTGGCCACCTGCTTCTCTTGGGTGGGATACCACCGACTTTACGCGTCCTGCACCCTGGCCAACCCGAGGGCGAGCAGTCGGACCCAGTTTGTTATCTTCACCGTCTTTTTCCACTCCTTCACATTTTTCCTGTCTTTTATAGTGCTGTGTGTCACATACCTCAAAGTGCTTAAAGTGGCAAGGTTTCACTGTAAGCGGATCGACGTCATTACAATGCAAACGTTGGTGTTGCTGGTGGATATACACCCCAGGTGAGCCCCTTTAACTTATTATTCCTATTTGTATTGCTCCTGCATGTTACCCTATACCAATATGTATTGTAGACTCACATCTGGAGGGCAATAAGGGGCTTTTAAGAGTGTTCGGCTGGAAGAGAGCATTTAGAAAAAAAGAACAAAGTGTACAAATCAACCCTCTGATCTTGTCTCCCCGGAGCAGTAAGTGTAGTTGTAGAAAATTCCTTTTCATATTGATTTTAGAGCCTGAAATGTTGCAGTTAATAATGCTTTGCCATCTTCGCACTGAAGTGTGTCCTCAGTATTCAGAGGGGATGCAAAATCAGATTCTATTGAAACGCTCTAAGGACCAATATGGTCTCTCTCTCTCTCTCTCTCTCTCTCTCTCTCTCTCTCTCTCTCTCT